TATATTTGTTATTTTTTATGATTCAAGTAACAATTTGATTAAATCAGGCAAGTTTGTGTATGAAAGCGTGATTTTTTCTTCATTTTTTCATATAAAATTCCGTGTTGATCAAAAAATTTTTATTAGAGAGTGACACTTGACCCCCTGTAGATCCGCAATGTCCTGCAACTGATATTTAAACTCCGGTTTTGGATAATTTTCATATTTTTTATAAAGATTCTTTCATTTTTCTATACGTTAAATATAATTACATTAGCCACAACATGCTGACAAAATTCAATCAAGCATATTCAGAATTAATCGGGAAACTACCTCCTTCACTAGAAAATGAAGCTTGGAAACATCTTATTTCTAGAAAGCGAAATCCAATAACAGAAGAGGACGCTAGTACCATTAACCCCTTAATAGAATTATTTTTGAATCACGAGTATGTTTCATCCATCGAGTAACAATTAAAAAATATGTTTTATTTACAGGATCGTTAATACCCATTTTCATTTCATAGAATATCACGATTGTAAACATCTCTCTATTATTTCAAGCGTTCTTATCTAGATCTAAGAAATGGTCTAACAATCCAATCTCACTAAAATTGAATCATATATTCTTATACTATAAAGAACCAAATCTAATAGGTCTAAATCACCAATTATGTCAAGTATTACTATTTCTATTATTATTGATAAAAAAGCTAAATCAGTGAAGCTCATTAATAATCATCCTGGATATGATATGAAATATGTAGAGTCATATATCTACGAATATTGTGGTATTAATAATTACCAATGATACTTTGATGAACTCTTCGAGACTGAAAGACAATATGATACTTTATCAGTTATTCGACCCAATGAAACTCCACAACAATGGGCTATTCGGGTCAGAGTTCCTTTACAAGAGCTGGTCTCTGAGGGGAAAAGAAGTTTATATCATGTACATTGTTTATTTGGTGGATTCGGAAATTCTAAGCTAATTAATCAATGCAAGAATTATTCAAAGAGCTTGGAGACGTTTTCAAGAGAAAGAGCCATCGAATGCACGGCTTGCATGGAATAGCTTACCGAATGATAATACTCCAGATGGTAAGAAATTTTTAGGTTTAACTCGACACGAAGTGAAAAATCCTCAGACTCGAGAACAATTTAATCAGTGGCGTACTAAATGGATTGAATTATATAAAAACGATCCCAATCCCATGATGCTCAGTTCCATTATTAATAGACAATATGAAGAATATTATATTCCATATAATTGGATAGAATCTAAAAAGAGTCAATTGCGGTCTAGATTCCAACAGCGACTTTTAGAAATAGAAGTGTAAATATATTAATTAATACACATATCTATTTATTCGATTAATATATCTATTTATTATTCATATATATCTATTTTAAAATAAAATCACCTAAGGTATTTCTGAGGGCTAGTACTTTAGACTTTATTTCATTATCCCTGAGGGCTGGTAACATTTTTTACTTTGATTTTTTACATATCAACCCATTTCCATTCGACACAAAAATCCCCATATTAGAAATAATACATGGACTTGTGTCAGCTCAATAATATGAGTGGCAGATAGAATAATGATTGAATACACGGAGGAGTGCATTTTATCTGAAATATATATCTACCTCAATTTCAACACCGGCTGGATACGTGCATCTCTACAGAGTGGCGAGTAAGATATATACTATATACTATATTCTATATATAAAAAAATAGTGGGAGAAATATTATTATTTGATTAAACTTGGACATCTTTTTTATATGAAATCGAAGGAAAAAAGTTACAATTGCAGAGGATAAAGATAAGTTAT